ACAGCTGCACGCCTTCAGCAGACCTCCTCATTCCTGCAGCACGAGAGCATTATGATTGTTTATGAGCGCCAAAAGTGGCGGATCTGTCCGGTGAAATATCTGACTGCGTGTCACCGCATCCCTAAGGACTGTTTGGCGAAATATTTGACTGCATGTCAATGCATATCAAACGACTGAAACGATATTAGTAGAGAAAGTAAAAAAAAAATTCATTTCATTTTTTTGCTGTTTGAAACAACTAACACTCATTTGGGGGATGATGGCACTCTAGCGGGGGGGGTCTTTGGAACGACCGCTGGGAAACGCAAACACTCAATTGGGGGATGGTGGGTCTCTAGCAGGGGTGGTCTTTGGAACAACCGCTGGAAAACGCAATGGATGCGCTCACCGGGGGCGTTGGTTAGACCAGGGGAGAGCCCACCAAGCCATGCCCGGATAGAGACCACTCTCCCCGGCATGACCCGCGCCTGGAGGTGGTAGCGCCACCCTGGGATTCGCTGACCTGCCGTCGAGGTTTCGACAACAGACAGAAAAAGAGGACTTAGTGCAATTTCTGATTTAGCGGTTGAACGAACCAGGGGGGTCTAAAGAAGGGGCCCGTTGCCCCAAGACAAGCGATCGAACCCGGGCAAGGCCAGTGGGCTGAACACCATGGGAGTCAGGGGTCCATGGCTGAGCTGCTAACCCGCCTCCCAGCGCTCGTCCCCCCGCAGGCCAGCGCGAGCGCGCCCCTGGGAGCCAGGGGTCCATGGCTGAGCTGCTAACCCGCGTCCCAGCGCTCGTCCCCCCGCATGCCAGCGCGAGCGCGCCCCGGGGAGCTAGGGGTCCATGGCTGAGCTGCTAACCCGCCTCCCAGCGCTCGTCCCCCCGCAGGCCAGCGCGAGCGCGCCCCGGGGAGCCAAGGGTCCATGGCTGAGCTGCTAACCCGCCTCCCAGCGCTCGTCCCCCCGCAGCAAACATGAGATACCATCGGTTACGGAGGCTAGAACTACGTGCCGCTGGTGCCCCATCCACGAGTCACAGGCCGGTGGTGCCCTATTCAGAAACCCAAGACCGATTGGGCCACCAGCGGTACGTCTTGGCCAGTTGGGTCACCAGCAGCACGTCTGTCTTGTCCGTGCGGTTTGGTGGAGTTAGTGTCCCCGGGCTTAATAGTGGGGTGCCTGGGCACTGCTGGTGATTAGGTGCAAGTCTGGAGGGTCCTTTCGAACCAGCGCTTGCCCCCGGAGGGTGTGTGTACCTCGGGCAGTGCGCGCAGGGCACAGGGCCCCCCACCACTGGATGTCAGAGGCTCCAGGCCAGGGAGAGGAGCTGGGCTTGCCCCCCAAGGAGAGTGTGTGTACCTCGGGCAGTGCGCGCAGGGCACAGGGCCCCCCACCACTGGATGTCAGAGGCTCCAGGCCAGGGAGAGGAGCTGGGCTTGCCCCCCAAGGAGAGTGTGTGTACCTCGGGCAGTGCGCGCAGGGCACAGGGCCCCCCACCACTGGATGTCAGAGGCTCCAGGCCAGGGAGAGGAGCTGGGCTTGCCCCCCAAGGAGAGTGTGTGTACCTCGGGCAGTGCGCGCAGGGCACAGGGCCCCCCACCACTGGATGTCAGAGGCTCCAGGCCAGGGAGAGGAGCTGGGCTTGCCCCCCAAGGAGAGTGTGTGTACCTCGGGCAGTGCGCGCAGGGCACAGGGCCCCCCACCACTGGATGTCAGAGGCTCCAGGCCAGGGAGAGGAGCTGGGCTTGCCCCCCAAGGAGAGTGTGTGTACCTCGGGCAGTGCGCGCAGGGCACAGGGCCCCCCACCACTGGATGTCAGAGGCTCCAGGCCAGGGAGAGGAGCTGGGCTTGCCCCCCAAGGAGAGTGTGTGTACCTCGGGCAGTGCGCGCAGGGCACAGGGCCCCCCACCACTAGATGTCAGAGGAGCTGGGCTTGCCCCCCCCAAGGAGAGTGTGTGTACCTCGGGCAGTGCGCGCAGGGCACAGGGCCCCCCACCACTGGATGTCAGAGGCTCCAGGCCAGGGAGAGGAGCTGGGCTTGCCCCCCAAGGAGAGTGTGTGTACCTCGGGCAGTGCGCGCAGGGCGCAGGGCCCCCCACCACTGGATGTCAGAGGCTCCATCAATGGTTCACCAGCGGCTCCATCAATGGTTTACCAGCGGCTCCATCAATGGTTCACCAGCGGCACATCTTTACGCATCTAGTGCCAAGGTCCAACAGGAAAACGTTATGCCTGGCGCTCACCTGGGCGTTGGTTAGACCCAGGCCCGAGCCCACCAAACCATGCCCGACGGTAGACCACCCTTCCCGGCCTACTTGTCGGGACGTCCCGCGCCTGGAGTTTTTTGCCCGACACCCACAATCTCTGACCTGCCATCAGGGTTTCGGGGAAGGCGACAATTTACGGACTTAGTCTCTGACAGTTCAGTTGCCAGACCCCACGGTGACTGATCGATAGGAGCTAGTGTGGCGCCCCAGGGGCTAGGCCCCCACCCAGGCCCCCCAAAGCACCAATGGGGTCGGCCTCTATGGGTGTGGCAGATCCTCCCCGTCCTGGGCGTTCTATCAGGGAGGCGTGGGGGTGTCCCTCCGCACACAGCGCCCCCCTTCCCGCCCCGATCTGTGGGTAAGGACCCAGATGGCCCGTCTGGCTATATTGACCCAGAGCTTGTCTGCTGCTCGGCCCGCCCGACAGCCCGCCCCCCTGGACTCCGTTTCCCCCGCGCCGATACTCAGCCCGTGCCCCCGCCCCACGCCCCTCGCCCAGCGAGGGCTGGGGGATGTTCGGTGGGTTCGGTCGAGTCACCCGGCGTGGTGAATCGAGCCCCCAGGGGCAGCGTAGGGAACGAGCTGGTGTAGGCTTCGATTCTACCCCCGCCCGAGTGTGTGCGTCTGCATCCCGTCCTTCCGCCCGCAACGCCGCCCACCCCCTGGGTTTATCCTTGCTGGCCCCCGGCTGACCCCCACCCCACCTACCCTGCTCCCGGGGGGAGTGAGGGTGGTTGGTTGGGGGGAAGCTAGTGGACTCCGGCGAGGTGAAACGTGCCAGGGTCAGTGGTGCCGGGGTTACGAGCTGTCTGGACCCCCCTTTCGATGGTTGGTGCGTATCCATGTTGGTTGTAGCAGGTCGTAAAAGCAAAACAAAAGCTCCCGCGGCTGGCGCGTGTGGAGCTGCCCCCCCCCCCCCCCCCCCAAAAAAAAACGGCGCATGTTCGATGGGGCTCAAACAATCCCCTTTTTGGGGTGGAAAAAGTGAACGAGAAAGGCTGTGGAAAAGCTCCCGCTGGCCAGAACAGCAATGAAGGGGGGATAGGGAGTGAGGTGGGACACCCCTTCCCCAACTCGAGTCGTAACAAGAGAGAGAGGTGTCGAACCGCTGGCCGGGGCAACGATGAAGGGGTGAGGGGGTGCATTGTTTAACGGGACACCCCCCCTCTGGTTCCTTTGAAAAGGGGGGAAGGGAGTGAAATGGACACCCCTCTCCCCCCTACTTGAGCGTCGTAACAAAACAAGGCTTGAACCGAATGGATCTCCGTAGGGCATCGGCTTACACCCCCTGGTGTGAAGAAAGAAATACGGGTCCACCAGCGTCATGACGCAGAAGTGGACGTCGCCTCCGACCGCTTATCAACCGCCGCACGTGGCGTGTGAGCCCCTTTCCCCCTCTGCATTGGTTCTAGCACGGTCATGGCTGAATGTGCCCTATGCTTCAACGTCAACAGCCGGCTTGCACCTCACCTGACGGCTGTTCACAAGGTGACCAACTCGGACGAGAAGCGGCTGCTGCTTAGACAGGCACTTGAGGCAGCACGTGGAGCTCTCGACCTCGGGCCGGAAAGAGGCTATGGGGAGGGCGAAACGCCGGAAAGTAGCTCGGGAGTTGCAGTGGCTGCGGTCCACCCAGCCTGCAATCCCCGTCGTGTCCCAGCGAGCATCGTCCTCCGAGGGGGAGCGGGACTCGGAGGGCCCAGAGGCCGGCCGCCCGTGCGCCGACCGCGGCTGCAGGCGCGCCACCGAGCGCATACAGGCTCAGCTCACAGACCTGGGGAAACAGGTTACCAAGATGCGGTCCACCCTACTCCAGATCACACGCCTCTACCGGGAGCTAAGGAAGGGAGAAGGGGGGAGAAGGAGGAGGAAGAGGGCGAGGAGAACCAGGTCGCCTCCTGCACCACCGGCTCCCGGGCGAGGGGCGGCCGGAGGTCCGATGCCCCCCAAGCCTCCGGAGGCTTTGGAACCCACTGCCTACCCGTTCCCGGACCACGTCCTCGCGCTGAGTTGAGTATATTTCACGCACGTCACTGTCGCTCTGCTGGGTGTGTGTCTTCTGGGAAGTTGACTCTTGGTTGTGCTCGTTCCACAGACCTTCTCTTGGGGGAGTTCGAAGGGTACCAACTGGGCAGCGAGCCCACCGCCCGCCTGCGAAACAACATCACTTCGAAGCTGGGGAGAATCAAAGCCTTCCTTGGTTACATGGCCAGGGGCACCGCGGAGCCAGGGACCTTCCTTTTCCTCAACCAACCAGCCCGAATCTGAGCATGGGCCGCCCTGCTAGGTCAGACGCAGATGGCCGAGCCCACCAGGCAGCACTATCTGAAGAACGTGGCCCAATTCCTGGACTCCCAATCGGAAACGCCGCCGGCCGCCTGTCGGCTCTCCAGCACGGCTCTGGTTCTGATTCGACGGGAGGTCAGAGCCCTCATTCGCGGCATACACCGGCGTGTCGTCGTGCACGAGGTACGGACCAAGCAGGCGAAGGAAAGCTGACTGATCCCCAAGGCCAGCCTAGTGCGCTGTCACCGGACCGCTGGGAGGAAAATTTCCGCCCTGCTAGGTAAGCCAGCCTTCCGCCGTTCCAACAATTCCCCCTGTTCGTTCTTCCAGGGCACCAACAGCCCTTGGTTCACCCACGTCTGTCTGCCCCTCTCCCCTGCGAATGGGACTCATCCGGGGGGAAGGGGGGCAGACAGACGTGGCTGGATGAACCAACAACTGCTGGTGGCCTGGGTTTAATTTCCTCTCTGGGTCACCAGCAGTTCTTGATTCATCCAGCCACGTCTGTCTGCCCCTCTCCCCCGCCAATGGGACTCATTCGGGGGGAAGGGGGGCAGACAGACGTGGCTGGGTGAACCAAGAACTGCTGGTGCCCCTGAAGAAGAAACGAACATTTCCTCTCCGGGCCACCAGCAGCTCTTGGTTGAGCTGCTGGCGCCCCGGAGAACAGGTCACCAGCAGCCAAGAGCTGTTGGTGACCCAGAGAGGAAATAGAACCGTCGGTGGTCTAATCTGTCTAATGTCCTTCACCAGATAGCCTCGAATCCAACCCAAGCACTAGGCAACAGTGGCGCTTCTATGGCTTTCTGACTGGCTACCTAACCTCCATCTCTGGGCACCGCTGTGGAGTCTTCCAGAATCTCACAATCCAGGAGGTTGAAGAGGCCTCCAGAAGCCCCGACGAGTCTGCTTATGTCATTAACGTGAGTATGGCGCAAGTAAGGTGGGGGTCACCAGTAGCATGCTCTCTCACTCACTGCTTGTTCTCTGACGGCAGATTACCACGCACAAAACAAACAGAGCCTTCGGGGCGGCGCAGCTGTCCCTAAACAGGGAGGAATACAGCTGGTTCCGCAGGTTTTTGGCGCTGCGGGCTGGTCTCCCCGGAGGGAGCCAGGCTACCTATTTCTTTTTCACTTCCAGAGCCAGTCCTTGTCGGACCCTGAACAAGTACTTTCAGTCTGCTTAGGTCAATATGGGCCTTCCAGGCAAACCCACCTTTATTGACGTACGGACTGCGATCGCGACCCATGTGAGTAGGCATTGTGACGCCCCTGTAACTACCAGCGGCGGCTTCGATCCTAATCAAGCTTCTGTCTCTCTCCGACGCAGGCAAAGAATGCACACTCTTCAGAGGATCGCCGCAAGGTGGCGCAATTCATGTGCCATGACACTTCAACCTCAGATAAGTTCTACGCACTTCACCTCGGACCTCTCCAAGCACGCGAGCGCAGCAGACTGTTTGAAAGGGCCCTGGTGGAGGAGGAGGAGGATGGGGAGGCAGCGGGCACTGAAAGCCCCCCGCGGAAAGGGCGCAAGAGGACAGAGACTCCCGTCTCTCCCCTGGTAAAAATCAGATTCTCTTTGGCGTGGACAGCAGAACTTGTGGCATTGGCTGACTGCCCTTTATGTGTCTCTTTACCAGGAGGGAACCAGCAGGAGGACGCTGCCATGGCGCCCTGCCAGGGGGAAAAGCCAGGGCGCTCGCCCACTCGAACAAACAGAAGACTCTGAATCGTCCTAAATAAATATTGTACAACTTAACGGTCAAATGGTGTTCAGTGTCTTCATTATTCCTTTTATTTATTATCTGTGTGGTAAAAGTAGATTCAGTAGGGACAAAAATGAGCCCTGTCTTCTTAGTTCAACGCTGTATGCCTGCTGCGTCCAGGTTCTGCCTTGGCTACGTTCCGATTGGGACAGATTATCCCTAACTTGTGTGTTAAAAGTGTCACGTGGGATGCCCTCGTCCAGGTTCTGCCTTGGCTACGTTCCAATTGGGACAAACTATCCCTGCCTTGTGTGTTAAAAGTGACTCGCGGGATGCCCTCGTCCAGGTTCAGCCTTGGTTGATAGCTCATAGGGAGAATTAATCCCTTTTGCAGCACAAGGAGGTGATGGGCTGGACAAATCTGTCCAGGTCTGCAAATGCTTTGAACGCCCAGAAGGCCTTGAGTCCAATTCTGTATATTAGCAATCTTCTCCCGGGACAGCTCGGTCCTTTGAGATGCATGAATAGGTCAGGACAGGGCAGCTGTGGAGTGGAGGTTAACTTTATGGAGAAATCTCCACTGTGCTACTGGGTGAGAGCGTATGGCAAGCCGTTTTAGCATTTAAACCTTGTTCTGACTATCCATAAATATATTTAGAGATATCTAATTATATTTTGACTAGTCATAATTACAATTCGACTAGTCAGATTTGAGATATTTGCAAATATATTATGACTGACTAGTCATATTCCTCCATTGACTTCCATTGAAAAATATTTGCAGATATCTCTAAATTAATTTTGATTAGTCACAATTGTAATTAGAGATATCTCCAAATGAACTTTGACTAGTCAAAAATCCAATTCAAGATATCTACAACTGTAATCCGACTATTAGTAAATTAATTAGAGATATCTTCAAATATATTTGTAAATATCTCTAAATATGACGAATTAAAGATATCTCTAAATGTATTATGACTAGTAAAAACTCAGTTAGATATATCTCTAATTACAATTGTGACTAATCAAAACTCATTTAGAGATATCTGCAAATATTTTTCAATGGAAGTCAATGGAGGAATATGACTAGTCACAATATATTTGCAGATATCTCCAATCTGATTTCGTACTAGTACAATTGTAATTGCAGATATCTCTATTGTCATTCTGAGTAGTGGAATTATAATTATGACTAGTCAAAATATAATAAGAGATATCTCTAAATATATTTATGGAGTCAGAACAAAGATTTAAATGCTAAAAAGGCTTGCCATAGAGAGTGCTTCTCACTGAAAAGAGCAGCAGCGATGACGTAAGTTTGCCGAGGCCCGATATGGTGTGAGCGCGGGCCGTCGGGGGAGACGGGAGAGGGGACAAGTGTGCTTTGGCCCGGTTCGAGGCAACTGTACCTAGTGTGAGTACAGCCTTAGAGTGTGTGCTACACCCAGTGGTGTAAAGTAACTAATTACAAATACTCAAATTACTGTAATTCGGTAGTTTTTCTCAGAAATTGTAATTTACTGAGTAGTTTTATAAATGTGTACTTTTACTCTCTCGAGTACATTTTTACTGCTGTATTGGTACTTTTACTCCACTACTTTCCTTCAACCTGTAGTCACTACTTTTTTTTCTTGTCTATATGGAATAGAAAAAGCAGCCCTGTGATTCCTGTCTAATCAAATAGCACATAGAAGGTAAATCACATCATAATGATCTACCTCAAGACATGTGCAATTTATAATTGCAGCAAACTGTTTAAAAGACGTATACAGTTATAGCTGCTTATGCGGTATATCAAATGTACCAAAAGGCTGGATCATAAAATCCCATCCAATAAGCACAGAATGGATTGCTGTATGTGTTATATGAAAAGTATGAGAAAAAGACTAGAGATGAGAAGTAACAAAGTACAATACTTGTTACTGTACTTTAGTAGATTTTTCTGGTATCAGTTCTTTACTCCGCTACTTATTTTTTTGACAAATTTTTACTTTTACTTCTTACATTTTTACACAAATATCTGTACTTTCTACCTCTTACATTTTTAAAATCACCCTCGTTACTTTAGTTTTCATGTGTTTTGTGGCGCGATCTATATTATTTCTTGTCATAGCGCAATAATATGAGCGCCTTTGAATGCAGTCAGTCTATTTATGTTATGTTGTAATTGACAGCATCACAGGCGTATGTAGTATCTGTTAAGGTGGTGCAGAGGTGTGGACTCGAGTCAGACTCGAGTCATGAATTTGATGACTTTAGACTCGACTTGACAAAATATAAAAAGACTTGCAACTCGACTTGGACTTGAACATAAATGACTTGGACTTTGACTAGGACTTGCCCCTATTGACTTGTAAAGACTTGCTGCTTTCCATGAAAAGCCCAAAAGATAAAAAAGTATGTTGACATGGACCGCTCTCTCTCTCTCCCCCCCGTTTATGTGTGTGTGTGACAGCATGCGCGCGTGTGTGTGTGACAGCATGCGCGCGTGTGTGTGTGAGCATGCGCGCTTTCGGCATGACATCCAATCAAAGCACGGTAGATTGTTTTGATTCCACAGTATCCAACGTGACTACTATGAGGCGCCGGAGCGGACAAAAGTCAAGCGAACGCAGAGAGAATTTGAATTTGAACTTGAGATCGAGCCAATACTCGCGTGCCAATACTCGTTTTCTCTCTCCCTCTCTCTCTCTCTCACACATACAACATACACCTCTCTCTCTCTCTCTCTCTCTCTCTCTCGTGCATTCAGTCTCTTTGCATTCGCTTGACTTTTGTTTACGATGGCGTCTCATACCTTTAGTGCTTTTGCTCTCACGGGATCCTCCTGCTAAACTGACCCTTCGCTAAGCCACGCCCAAAAACCGCCACCCACCAATCGCGGCTTACCAATCGTAGCTACGGGCAGGGGCTCTGTCAAGCTTTCGAGCGAGGGAAACAAGCCAAATCGTTGCGCAATTGGATTGTGCAAATCTGACACCCGCCATCCTAAAAGTTTGGACTGGGTGGTGGGATTTTTTCCCTTTTCAAAACCAAAGCCCAAGAGGAGAAATGCCAGCGTGGATCAAGCTGTGTGAGGGGCGGTAAAGGAGTTAAGCTAAGTTGGTTTTGTTTTCGATATTCACATTCAGTGATAGGTGGCAATAACTCACACTCCTCTTATCCTAAACAGATCTAAACTGTGTTTCTTATAAAAAAACAAAAAAAAAACAAAGCAGGTTATGTTTCCCAGCGGTCTTTTTCTTTTTTTCCACTCGATATTATGAGCACTGCTTAGTTTAAACCCTCGCTATTGTAACGCATATAAATACATACACTAATATTTGCTGGTAGGAAAAATCTATTTGTTCACTTCTGTTATTTATACTTTGATTTGCATTTCAATTTTTTTTCTTCCACTTAACTGCAAATTTGAATAAAAACTGGATAAAGAGCACACAAACATGCTGACAGTAATAGGTACTGTACACTGTTATGGGTCAATGATGCTAATATTCGGCACAAATCCATCAGTTTCTTAGGTTATTAGATTATTTTATAATTTCACCTCTCCTGCTGTGCATGAACTATGCTGTTGAATGTTCAGCGTATGAGGTGGCTAGGCTAACCTTGCTTCAATTTTGATAAAATTATTTTCTAATCAGTTGCTATTATGTTGTGAATATACCCCTGTAATGTATACTGCAGTCCTCTTTTGTCTGGCTTTCTCAGATATCTCACCTGTTTGCCAAAAATGACTAATTAAATCCTTGGGAATGTCTGACACCTGCGCATACACACTGTAATAGATGTGCCAGGCATGAAAGCTTGACAGGCGTAGCAGCAGTAACTAAGGAGGGCGAGGCTTAGCGAAGGGTTATTCCAAGAATGTTGATATGGTTTCTTTCTTGCTTTACTATTTATTAACAATACACAAAAAACTAAAAGGTTAAGGTAAATTCTTTAATAAATTCTAGTGTTTTTGAGTATTATACTTGTTGTATACTTGTATTATACTTATGTTTTAGGCTAGTATTATTTACGACTTGTTAATGAATGCTTCATAATACAGTAGCATTACCAATAGTGAACAGATAAAATAACACAAAGTGTAGTTTTACTACAGTAAAGTGTAGTGATTTGTAGTATAAAATACCCTATATTGTAAAGTAATACAGCACTGGGTAATTTGTTTATATTACACTTGTGTTACCATAGCAACTATAGTATTACCACAACTGATCAATTGAAGTTCTTTACTGTAGTAGGCTACTGTTCAAAACACAGTACATGCCAATATACGTGTTCAGGGGCCCTGTGGAACAGCTTTCCTCAAAATGAAGAGGATGACATGGAAAATGTCCTCCACAATCTCATCAGCAAAGTGGAAGCCAGCAGACACTAGTTTACTTTATTTTAGCTGCCATGATAAAATGAGATTGATAGTGAGATTTATTTGAAGAGTGAATAGTACAGTAGGCTATAATACCTTATCAAGTGTTTCCTTATTTTTATCACAGTTACATTTCTGCTTGCATTAGTTTTTGTTTAAATGCTTTTAAAATAAAATGTATTCTTTACATCCAACATCTATTCCAGGGGTGCCTTATAGTGGTGTAAACCCCTTTACAAGGGGTGTTACCCCTGTGTAAACTCAAGCCACCCCTGTGGCCACCCCGATATGATTTTGCTGTTGACATTATTTATTTAAATCTACTTACATAAATGAAATACAATGCAATATTTCAATAAATAAATA